AATACATTCACACACACGGCCCATCGCTAGCGCTAAATAGGCAACTCATCACCCTACGACAACAATTACACACAGCATACAGACACCTCCAAACTCAGACATGGCAGGACCTCATTAACACATTAGAAAGACAAACAGATCCCAAAAAATTCTGGTCATCCCTAAAACGCATGATAGGCTCCAACACTAAACAAGCTGTCCCATACCTCAAACACAACATACAATATGACACACCCGAACAAAAAGAACCCATTTTCCGCAAACACTGGCAGGATATATTCACTCAGGACGACACGGACAATGAAGACTTTGACACAGAACACATCCACACAGTACAGGACCAAGTCAGCAACAACCTACACCTAATTCACACACACAACCATGGTGACCTCCCCCGACTCCACCCCACAGACTTCCCACCTATCACCATAAGAGAATTACAGCGTACACTAAAAACATTCAAACAGAAAGCACCAGGTCCCACAGGCATCACAACCCTCCAACTCAAACACCTTCCCAAAAACATGATCCAATATCTACTATATATATTCAACCACGCCATTTCAGCCGGTTATTTCCCAGATTCACTAAAACACGCAATCATGATCTTCCTCCCCAAACCCAACACTTCACAACACCAAGTCCAGAATTACAGGCCCATCTCACTTTTAGACATTCACGGAAAACTCTTAGACAAAATACTCAACAATAGATTATACGAACACCTTTCCATTCACAATATACACAACATTAGACAACACGGTTTTAGGAAACACAGAGGGACACACACAGCACTGGCCACATTCCACGAAACACTAGCCATACAGATAGCACAAAGACACACCACTGACATAGTACTCCGCGATGTGACCAAACCTCCACCTGTCCTTCACCAAAACACTATCAGACTACCTTACAGACAGAACAGCATCCATCAGAATAGGAAACCACATAGGTCCCCCAATACAACTTCACACAGGTGTCCCCCAAGGGGCTTGCTTGTCTCTCCCCTACACTATACAGCTTCTACACCCACGACCTCCCACCAGCACTACCCAACACAGACTACATAGCATTTGCAGATGACATTACACAAATAACCTCAGGACATTACCCACCCAACCACGCAGCAATACAAACACAACACGCCATACAACAGATCAACACCTTTGAAAACAAATGGCTCATTAGGACAAACACAAACAAATTCAAAATTATACCCATCAAGTAGGCGAAACACTTCCGACATCTTCATAGACGACACCCACTATCCATACACTAATAGAGGAACAGTTTTAGGCTTAGATTTCACTACACACGGCTTCAGTTCCCAAGTTGCGAAAAGAAAAGCAATGGCCCTCACCAGTCTACACAAATTACACAGACTTTATAACCTCCCACCCAACATTAAACGCACTTTATACCTTTCCTCTGTCAGGTCATCCCTCATCTACCCCCCGATACCGCTACACACCCAATCAAGATCAGCCATACCAAAACTGCAGACAGTACAAAACAAAGCCCTCCGATTTATCACAAACACACACTGGTCCGACTTCATATCCTCCCAAACACTACACGAGCAATGCAACATTCCCACAATAAACACAGTCCTCCACCAACAAGCACGCAAAACCTGGTCCACCATCAAAACATACGATCCCCAACTCTTCAACCAACTGACATTCCCCCCACACGCCATAGCAAGGCAGCACCGGCTGTTTCACAGCTCAAAAATACTCGCACTAGGTCCCCCACCTCCACCTCTCTACAAATAACTACACAACGGACCATGCTGCACCCGGACGAAGTTGTTCATAACTCGAATGGGTGTAGCTGGTCCAAAACAACACAACACTATACACGCATGACAGCATCGCACTGACGAACTGTCGTTTCTCACCGAGAGTGACGTACAGTAAAGACTTGACTAAAAACTTTGAATTTACCAACCAACCCCTTACCTATATATGAGTCTCGAGCGACACACCTATCGCCTTTACCTTCATCATCATCAATTACCATTATCATCATCCCCCCTCATCATAGTCATCAAGAAAAATACCAAAAAAATAAATAAAAAATGAAGATATAAAAAAAGAGCGAGAACGCATGTATATATATGTAAGTAGTGAACCACCATCCCCCCATCACCTACCTTTCGGACGCATCCAAAGCCCCGACGGGTTCCCCCCCCCCTCCCTAGCCCCAAATACCCCCCACCACCTACAGCCAACCCCCCTTCCCCAGCCCCAAATACCCCCCAACCACCTACAGCCAACCCAATTATGCGCAATGCGCCTTTTCGTCTCCTACTGTCTTTTCCATTTTATTATTACAACACTTCTCTTTAACTTCACTTCTTGTTTGTCTGTCTGTCAGTCTGCTACAAATCTTGTAATCGAAATTTAATACACTTCTACTTATCCTATTGATCTGAAATTTTGCAAACTTGTTTAAAGTTGGAGACAATGCATGAATCAAATGTCGAAATAAATGATTTTTAAAATTAAAAAAAAAATTTAAATATTAAAAAAAATTGAAAAAAAATAATTTCAGCTACAAATCTTATAACTGATATTTGACACACTTTTACCTGTCTAATTGATCTGAAATTTTGCACACTTGTGTGAAGTCAGAGGCAATGCATGAATCAATTAACAGAAAAAATAATTTAAAAAAAGATATATATATTAAAAAAAGTTATATATAGGTATTAAAAAAATCGAAAAATAATTTTTTTTTATTTTCAAAAATTAGATGAGAAATTCATTGTACATCTGTAAGATTGGAGATACTGGATTCTTTGGAAGTGTTGTCTTTAAAAAGTAATTTTTAAACGTATATTATTTCCTTCTTCTTTCTGGCCACTCAGCGCCACCTCTTGTTCTTTTCCACTCTTTCCTAGTGGCACCGCACACACACACAATGACAGCTGCTCCTTGTGCAAGAGACTTCACGTCAACGCGGTTGTGTTTAAATTGATTACATTCGGTTTCGTCTGCCTATTGATATGTGATATTAACATAGGAAACTCACACCCGTTCATTAGGACCTTTATTAAGTGGAGGTGACATGTTACCATCTGTAAAATGTTGTCACAATGCGCGGAAAATTATCGGTCATATGTAGTAAGTTGAAACTACTATTTTACTTGTATAAAAACCCAGATCTATTCTATAAACATCATACGAATATGTAAATCGTATTTAACTACGATGTTGACTCTATTTCGTCCAGCTGTCGCCTGACTAATATTGTTCAACATGTGATGGCGCGTACGTTTGACGTCTTTAGATAATTGTCGAATGGGAGATATAAATATTTGCAGAGACCGCACCTCGTCGCGGCAGGGAATTAAGTTATAAATATAAAACAACCGAACTGTCGCTGTGTTCAATCGGTCATTACTGGGACATTATTCTAACATTTTTTTAATTACTTGTATGGCAAGTACAGCAATAACTTCATACATGTCTTGTCCGCAATATTCTCATTTTCCTTAATTTTAATATTTGAAGCTATAGATTTGGATGAATATATTTCATTGTGCACTTATTTTGCTCCACGCAACAACAGTATTGTTCTCATACTTTTATTTCTGCATTTAGAGACAAGTTTCCGTCTTAGCGTTCTCCGCAGCGAGGTCTCGGACAAATTTACGGCCGGTCTCACGGCCAATCTCCTAGTTCAGTTACCAAGGAATATCTCCCAAACTAAAGAACGCAGCTCCATGAAACGTATAGTACACGGATTTATCAGAACCTAACGGTGATGTTTAGCTCGTGAAACTGTTATCCATTTCACCTTCATTCGTGGATTATACAGCAATTCGGGCCGAAATTCGCAGTGACCAAGAAATTTCTCCAAAACTACTGAACAGATTTGAATGAAACTTTGAATATACAAACCTAACCTCCCAAGGTTGATGTTTGGCTCGTGAAAATTTTTTCGATTATGCCTTCGTTCGCGAGTTACGATTAATATCACACAATGAATTTTTGTAATACCTTATCACAATAATAAATCGCTGCAAATCCTACATTATCAATACCGAGTATTTAATTATTTTCTTTCTTGTCTCACTGAATTGATCAACTAAAGAAATTGAAATTATGCGTAGTAAAGAACTAATTTACCCATTTTATATCCTCGAGCCAATGCTCTTAGCTGCATTCTATAACGTGTTTGAAGATGACTGTACAAGCATTAGAGGCGATGACTATAACCAATCTATTCAATATGTACAAGCATTAGAGTTGGGCGTCAGCTTAGTTTAATATGTCTTTTGGTTGTTTGAAACACGATTAAAATTATTCCGACAGTGATTTGATATTATTGACAGTATTGTCGAATACATCAGCTAATTAATCCCATAATAATTCATTCAGTGATCGAGTTAATTATTGAATTGCTTTTCTTATCAAATTCAAAATATTTAGAAATGCATTCTCATCGCATTTCCGACATAAATTTTGTTTTTGATTAGCCATGGTTGATTTAACCAATTATGAGATTTTGATTCAAAGCATCGCACCGCAAATTCATATTGGCTGACAGCCAGTCGTTTTCACACGGCTGAATATCACAGTATAAGTTATACAGTATACAGTAGTTATCTTGCATGTAGTCGCTGCCCGTTTTTACTATCTAGTGACGAACTTTAAATAAACCACAAACCATTTATATATCATTAATTGATTACATTTTTACTAGTTACTTTTACTTGTGTTTCACTTACACTTATGTATATTTTCTTGGAATAGGAAATGTTGCATAAGAATTTTATTCGCCTGTTCACTTCAAACGAAAAATTCTATTGAAGCATGATAATCAATGGAACGTATGAATACAGAGCTACTCAAGTATTTATTTTCTTTTATTGAGGCACATAGATTTGAGTTGTACTTCTTTTCCACAATTGTACTTCCCAAAGTCTCCGGTCAACATTATGTCCGTATTACTGTACAACTTGTAATGGGCAGAACAGAAACACATCATTGAGGAGAGGCTCTTTATTGGTTTAACACAACACAGGAAAGCTTTAATAAGGCAGGTGAGGAAGGCGTAAAATAAACGCTCTATTTCAACAGAAAAACTCAACAGCGACGGTTCTTTAACAGCGTTGGAATCTGCCATCAGTAGAGCGCGTGATGCCGAGTGATGGAACACTAGTTGGAACACACTCGTCACAACACACAGCAGTATTTGATATCCCGGATTACACTGAACACAAACTGGCTTCGCACATCAGAAACACATGCGACACAATGGAAGCGCTGCAGGTTCCTCAACATACAAGCCAGGACACTGCATGCAGTGTCTGCTAGATCCTCACTAGTTCTTAGTGTCAGAACTTATCCATAGTGGCAGCCAGGACACTGCATGCAGTGTCTGCTAGATCCTCGCTAGTTCTTAGTGTCAGAACTTATCCATAGAGGCAGCCAGGACACTGCATGCAGTGTCTGCTAGATCCTCGCTAGTTCTTAGTGTCAGAACTTATCCATAGTGGCAGCCAGGACACTGCATGCAGTGTCTGCTAGATCCTCGCTAGTTCTTAGTGTCAGAACTTATCCATAGTGGCAGCCAGGACACTGCATGCAGTGTCTGCTAGATCCTCGCTAGTTCTTAGTGTCAGAACTTATCCATAGTGGCAGCCAGGACACTGCATGCAGTGTCTGCTAGATCCTCGCTAGTTCTTAGTGTCAGAACTTGTCCACGCTGGCTCAGCATAAAATAAATCCTGTCAAGTCATTTGCCAGGGAGATTAATGCAGAATATCTCAGCATGGAGGAATATTTCATCGTGAAGACAAAATCCGAATAGGCCATTGGTAACTAAGAATTGTTGACAAACTGGAATGAAGAAGGCTCATGAATATTTCACTCTTCACGCAAAGCTAAAATATCAAGAAAAATCAAGAAAAATGTGCGTGTTGTAGTAACCGCCTCAGTGCTTCTCAACACTGCTTCAGGGATGTGTTGAGGCCGATGCAGAGGGCTATGTACCAATCCAAACTCTCGCAATCAACCGGCCAAAGATCTTTATCATAAGTGTCGACTTCAGCACATTTTCCTTGGGAATTGGAACCGCCACCAACAGGAAATGTATTATTCTGGCCGTCGGGAAGCCAGCGGTAGTAGCCCTCTTCTCCACGCTGCGTGTTGATCCAGAAATAGTGATCTAAGTAAAAAATATATTAATAATTAATTAGCACCTGTTTATCGTTGAAATTGTTCAGTGAGACTTTTCTCCTATAGTCATTTTTAGTTCTAGCTTATTTAAAAGTAGTAATTAAAAGGGATGGAAAGGACGGATGGAAGAATGAGAAGAATTATGCATTGACAACATTAGATACAGTAAATAAAAGTCCTAGGTTTCTAAAAAAATGTATGTTATATGAGGTAGGTATATTGTATGTTATATGAGGGCGACGGAAGTTAAGTTGTATTGGCTTGGGGCCTAGTGCTTGTAAGCCGTGAAGGCTCTTTAAGGTTTGCGTGGAGGATGCATGGGAGGATGATGGTTCATTATTTACATATTCAAGTAGTATTTAAGTAAAAATAGATTATGTGCACTATCCACATACTTGAGTTTCGCATTTTAAAAACATTTCAGTTTTTTATTATTTTTTCGAAGGAGATGATATAATGAAGGTGAAAGTGATGATGAGGTGATGAAGCTGAGTGTGGTTACCGAGGTAAGCGAGTCACGCGACACTCGAGAGGGAGGATGAGTAGGCAGCAGTTATGTTGATAAAGTGCGTATACTCTCGTCATTAATATCAGTCATTCTAGGTGTATTTCGCCAGTCAGTAATCGTAATATGGATACCTGCACTATTACCCGTTCATTTAAAACTGACTTACAAGTGCCGCATGTTCCGTCCTGTAGATGCTTTTGGTTTGTGTAAATAGTGGAAATGCGTACAAAGGGGCTAATGCCTGTAGCTTAGAACTTTTTAATCGCTGGTGCTTTACGCAATTATGTCTTGAAGGAGGGAGTTAGTCGGTTGAAGAGCTTTGGGTCATTTATTGTTATGGTGGACCAGGTTCTACGCGCTTCTTGAAGGAAGACTGTGTTTATGGTGGGGTTCAAACATTGTTCATGCAGTGCTCTTTCTTTAGGGTATGAAGTCGTACCGGTGTGTGCTTGTGATGAATATTAGTGCTTTGATTTGGACTTTCTGCAGTTGTGTTATGTATGTTCTGGATAGTGTGTATAAGGGTATTAGGGTAATGGGGGATGATCTTACAAATGCAAGAATAATGTGCGTTTTGCGTTGGAAGGGAAGAGGATACACGGAGATGGTTTGGGTAGGTTTATGACAGCTGTTGCTTCTCTGGCTGTTATCTGAGACCGAAAACCCTGTGATGTCAAGTTTAAGCCTAAGACTGTTCCTTTGATCATGAATGGGCAGTGGGTGATGTCTATGCTAATTTCTGGTGTGTTCCCCATCTGATGGGTATGATTTTAAAATTAGTTCTGTTCGCCCTAATGAGCCACTTGTTTCCATTCATGTCTTACTAGTAAGTCAGTCAGTTACTGTCAGTTTGATTTGAATTGTATTGGTTTATCTTTTGAATAGCATGTTTGGCTATTTGAGCGTATGTCCGTTGCGTTTTTTTCGTTTCTTTTTCTAGTATTGTTTATTGTATGTTAGTGATGGTTGGTTTCCTGTATGAGCAGTTTGTGGCAAGTGTTCGGTGATCTTGGTGGCAATTGAGGCATTTAATGGTATTGATGCACGAAGTGTGTGTGCGCTCGCGGGATGCGCATTCTGAGCAGGATGGTGTGGAGGCGATGCATAAGTGAGTGGGATTAAAGAATATCGAAATCCACAAACCCAACCTAGAAAGACAGCATATTTGTATAAAATTACAATAGTAGACCAATATGAACTACGAATACACTTGAGAGTTTATACATTACTAAATTGTCATTTCTACATAAACCATTTCAAACAATTCACAATGCATAATGTTTACGAAGGACACAAAACACATGTTTAACACGTTGTCTCCGATTGCTTCATCTTGTACTATTATTTCATTTTTGTACTATTACGAATTACTCAAATTGAGGATTTGAATTGATTTTTCATTGGTCCTAAGCATTCTACTACCGGAATAATATGTATAGGGAGTAAATTAATCCGAACTAGTACGGTAAAATATATTTAAAAAAATGTGTTGGAATAATTGAAATGGGACATATATGTAGTCCAGGTTTTCCAGACGGTCTTTTTTTCTGGACAAATTCCGCGAATTAATTTGTTTCCAATAGCGTTGGCTGGCTAAAAATTATGATAGAGGTACTTCCTAATTAAATTGTAAAAATTGCAAAAAAAAAGAAAGTGAATTTTTACACTGGAACCTACACATAGGTATACTAGTATATATAGAGTTATAGGCCTTTTTAGCCTTTTTCGCGTACTTGGCCGTTTATTAGGCCATCTGGCAACCCTGAATTATGTACCACTACGTCATGGAAAAATATAACTTCGTGGTATGGATATGTACCACATCGGAGTCAACGTGTTAAAGAATAGAGCACATGACGGAAAATCAATCTAGCAGGGGATGAAATTTTCCAAAATTCAGCAATTCTATGCCATGAACTCACACCTACATTCGATCTCGTGAAATAGTAGTCGTGTTGCTGCCACCCTGCAATCCAATCATTCACTATTCTATGAAATAATCTATAACAATCGACAATCGAATAACTCTAGTCGACATTCCAAGATGTTTGATGTCCATATTTAAGGACAGCAAGCCAGCTAGATGCATTCAGAGTTAAATCAACTGCTAACAATTGGTATGAAAACCATGAAACTGGCACTGGAACATATGGAACGGCAACTTTTGCTTTCCTAGTCTCAACATCATCGATAAGTTGTTGTGTTGACTCTAGCGCCAGGTACTCCACCAACACGTGTAGGCGACTTGTAGAAAGTCCTCGCCATGAGGCATCAGGAAGCTATGCTATAATGTGCAGAATCTTGTCGAGTAGACCTCGAAATGTTTCTCAAAATAATAATGATCTTTTATTTGAATATTAACGAGTGCTGAAGTGGGAAGACAGCTTCGTTTTGCTTTCGCAATGTTTTGGAATAATTCTTCGTTCTGTTCTAAGAACATCTCGTATAGTATATAGTATAAGTCACCAAACAATTTTTAACGCAAGTTACGAATATTTATTGCAACTGCAATGAATTCTCCAAAGCATGGGTACCTTTGAACTCATCGATCTAAATAAGACCATATACAACTTTTTTATAAGATTGTTAAATGTCAAGTTGGTATATGAGTAAATGAACTAGTGTTCAAATAGTTTGCTCAATTTTGTTAGTCGGTGATAATCCGTGATTGGCTGACAGATTTAAGAATTTCAAACTATACACATTGTACGGCTCAAGACTTATTAGGTAGATTACAACTCACTGAGTGTTTTTGCGTAATCCTGAATATCGGGGGTGGCCTGCAACTCGTAGGACGCCAGCGGCAAGCCAAGGGCCTCGCACAGAGTCTTGGCCTCGCAGTACCCGAAGCTGTCGGAGTCAGGACGTTGCACAGTCTCGACGCAATGTCCGGCTATTATTTTATTGCAGCAAGTCAGCCTCTGCGGCATCAGTCCACTGTCGTACGGGGTTTCATATTCATCTGAAAATAAGGCAAAGTAAATCCTCATTTATCGCTGTTGTTACGTTCCCAGATGCGGCCACGATAAGTGAAGCCGGCGACGGAGAATTTTTTTCACACCATTTTAGATTACTTTTTTAAATACTAACCGATCGACTTCCTCAGAATTCCGCTAACCAGCAAAACTTCCGCTAACCAGCAAAACCACCCATTGATGTCACTGGTCAACTGAGAAAATTTAATGGTTCTGAAATCATTTTGTGTGGGTTGAAAAACAACTGCTAATTTCAAAACGCTAATTTACTGCTAATTTCAAAATAGGCGTTGTTATTTTTTAGCACGTCTAGTTTTTTAATATTCACATTTTTAAGCAAAATATATAAAATAAGTTAATATGTATATATATTGGTAGCATTTGATCAAAACGAATCCCCTAAAATTATAGAAATTACTTGTGATTAGATGTTTGTGGTCCCTGATGCTATAAGTGAGGAGTTGCTATGGAAGACGAGCGTGATTGCCAACATTCTGATGGATGCTGTTATGTTTACAGTGAGCAAAACAGACAACTGATCGGAAACACGTAAAAAGTAGTCTGAACACGAAAAGTCAGGTAAAGTCAGGTCTGATCACTACGAGTCAGGTAGTCTGAAAGTGTTTTTTGTAAAGGTCGGGCGAAGGTTAGGTATGATTTTGTATTGAATTCCAATGAGCAAAACCTTATCGGAGACTTTGGTCACTACACTGGGTATTATATACAGTATATCTGCAGTGTGTCGTGCAAGTTGTACAACGAGAGTTTGGTGGAATGTGGCTAATGCCGTTTGTGTCCTTCTGGTGTTCCCTGAAACCGAACTGTGTAGTGTTGTGAATGGTGACTGGTGAGGGGCTCATTCAATCTATTATTCAGGATTTCGTCTAAGAGCTTCCCGTGCAAATCTTATAGTAAAATAGGGCTGTAGTTTTGTACTTTATGATGAGATGTGGCGGGTTCTGGCAGGAAGATCATTATGACATGTTATTGTGAGTCGGAGAAATAACCAACGGAGATGGAGTGATTAAATGTGTGCAGCAGGTTGTGGATCATTATTTTGAATAAATGTTTGATTTGGAGGATTTTGATGCCAATAGAACCAGGTGCTTTCTGTAGAAATATTTTCAGTGTGCGCCGTAGTTCTCCATTGGTTATGGGTGGGAAGTCTGCTAGATGGGGTCGGGTAAGGTCACCACGATTGTTTTCAGGGGGTATTTTACGGTGTGGATGTGGTCGATGTTAAAGTCTTCGTTGTCTGTGCCGTTCTGAGTGAATATGTCCTGCCAATGTTGGTGGAAGATGACTTTTTTGTTCTGGTCTGTCGAATCTGATATTTTTGTGTTTGTGGTATGGGACAGTTTGTTAGGCGTCAGATCCTAGCATGCGCTTTAGGAAAGACCAGAATTTTGTGATCTGCATGCGTTCTAAAATGCTAATTAGGTTCTATCATGTCTCTGTTTTTAGGAGTCTGTATGCTATGTATAGTTATTTGCATGGGGCTGCATGGAAGAGAGGTTTGATATTGTGTTTGCAAAAGCAATGTTTCGTGAATGGGTATGATGCCTGGAATGATGCGGGGTGTTATGATGGGATACAGGTCCAGTTGTCTAAGCATGTGCCTATTTCTTTAATGCAGGGTCTGTTATAGTGGGGGTCTGAATGTGGGGCTATTATTGGAATGCAGTCTGAAGGTTGTGGAATGGATCCTAGTGTGCAAGTGTTGTGGAATGCCTTCTGTTGCTTATGACTCTGTCTGGTGATGACATGCGGCTTTGACAACATTTGCGCAGGTTATTGGTGTTGTGTTTTTTAGCATTTGTGTCTGCGAGTAGGTAAACAAGATGGAGGTATACATCAAGTATGTATACTTGATGTATTCTGTACGTGTAGGGCTGTGTGTTGCTCCTGTAGTGATGGGACTGTCAACTGTAATTGTGAGCATTTGAATGTGAAATAAATTGCATGTCAAAGTTTGTAAGGTATGAGTCTCCTAGTGGCTATGGCAGCACCGAAATGTACAGTGTGTTGTCATTATTACAGCTGCTCGTAAGTACATTGTAGTTGAATACTTCAAGTGTGGATTTGTCAGCCGTCTGTCATCGCATTGCATCCGTCATTGAGGCATTTTTTGCGGTGTTAGCGTAACTGCGTTGTTAGGTTTAGCGTTGGTGTAACTGCGGTCTCATGGGAGGCGCATTCGGAGCAAAAGAGAGTGGGGGGATGTGAACTGGTGTGCGGGTGGTCTTCTGTTTTGTAACATTTTAAGTAGATAATTAGGTGTGTGTACGGTTCTTGTTCGCATTGTTAGGGTGTTATTTTAATGTTTTACATTCAAAATACGTTTGTAAGTATGTGGGGTGGGGGCTATTGTAGTGTCTGTGGTTACGATTTTGATGATTTGAGTGTAGCGTTTGTCTGTGATTATGGCCTGTATGTGTAGTCAGTTTTATTGTGCATTTAATATGTGTTTGATTTCTTCGGTGGTGCGGCTTTCTACGTCTCTATTTATTTAAGCTGTCGCACATGAATATTTCGCACCGCTTTAAGGTTGGGGGTATGCGATAAAGTCATGTTGATTTTATGAAATGCATCATCAGCTTTCTTAAGGGGAGCTTGTCAATTGCAGTCGCGTCATCAGCTGTAGCGTAAAATCAGGCGGCAGCGTCGGTAAGTAAAATTAGTTGGGCATTAAGTTCGTTAAAAGTCGTATGGAAATTTTGAGTTGATCAGTCATTATCGTAACGCCAATTGTCTATAATTGGACAAACCCATCGGGTTATGAGGGAGAGGAGGGTGCAAAACGGTGGAGAGGGAGCGAAATTCCAGGTAAATGTTTTTCGTGCAATTCAATGTTTAGTAAAATTTCTACACATAGGCAGGGAAAAGAATAAGTCACACTTTGCTAGTGACACGCGCTTACGTCACAGAGCTGGCTGATCCGGAAGGCGTGAGAAAGGACCATTGAACAGTACCACATACGTAGCAGCTGGAGAGCCGTAAGCCGCTGGCTTAAATTAAATCAAATCCGCTCACACATTATATCTAAAATAGTGTTATCTCTCTGCGGTCAGCTCACGTACCATTGAAGACGAGACCTGTGTTGTCGCTGTTGCCGCGGATGCACCCGTCAGACGTGGACTCGGTGTAGAGAAGGAAGGTGTCTCCGACCATTTGTCCAGGAACTGTAAACATAAATAATGTAATCCGTTGTTCTCGAACAGGTACTGTGGAGCTGATATAAGAGGCCATGCATTTTGTTGCAATTTTTTTATAATGATACTGATTTACAAATATCGTCTCGAGCATTCAGCATGACGGTTGAAGACTTTTAGATTTGTTTAAATCCCTGTTAAAAATAATTTTGTTAGTTACTTGGTTTTTAATAAGTTTAAATTGAACGCCGCTGCAGGTTTGGCGGCCGGTGGCTGGCTTCCGTCAATTTCAATTAAATAAACGAAAAAATGTTATTCAATTGGGGTGCCAGACGGCAAAAGATCACGAAGCAACAAGAATCAGCAGCTCCTTTTGTTTTATGAGCAAACATTAAAGTCAGTGGGTGGCCTCTCATAGGAGGCAACTGATCATTCAACACAATTCGCAGTATCTTACTCTCTGCCGTGTATACCTGATACCAGTTCTGAGTCAGCACCCTCATCACAATAATATATTAAATAAAAGGGCATAGCGTCACATGTTATATTTTGAAGTCTTTGCTGGATCGTGTGTGACAACTTACGAGCATCATGACGTAGACAACTTACGAGGCGTCATGACGTAGACAACTTACGAGGCGTCATGACGCAGACAACTTACGAGGCGTCATGACGTAGACAACTTACGAGGCGTCATGACGTAGACAACTTCAGCAGGCGCGTCACCGCAGTCCTGCTCGTCGTTCTGGATGCCGTACAGAATCATGCCACTAGCGGCTCCTGCATAACAGGAGCCGTTGATCTTGAACACGAGAGCGTCTGAGGAGGAAGGATTACTTGATTCAAACTTGCATGAATCAAATTTGTATGAATCAAATTTGCTTGAATCAAGCTTGCATAAATCAAACATGAAGAAACTATTATCATTAACCTTCGTGGAAATCCAATAGACATAAACTGAAATAACATCCAGTATTATAAACTTTAGTATTTATAAACTTAAATAACATCCAGTATAAACTAAATTTCATGAATTGAGCTTATATGAATCATAGTCCATGAATCAAATTTAACGAATCATACATACGTAAATAAAACGTAAATGAATTAAACATGTCAGAAAATAACATAAATGAATCCAACATACATGAATTCAACAAGCACGAATCAAACGTACATGAATCAAAGAAGCAAGGTTACAAATGTCACAAAAATCTAATTTGAAATGCATTTTCATGAATCGATTAAATCAAGCATACTGAAAAAAAATATTTCGATAAAACGTACATTCACTAATGAAAACGTCATCTAATTAACATGAATCAAACTCTCAAAATCGAGCATAATAATTGAGTCAAACGTCGTGCATCAAACTTAGATGAACAAAACTACAATGTACCAATTTAAAAAATCAAATATTTATACATGAATCAAATGTATCTGAATCACACTTATATATGCATCTAATTAAGGCATATGCTAATCATTTAAAAAGCAATCGGAGGTAAATACCACTTTACAGGCACTCATTTTACAACTTATTTGAACCAAATCTGTTCTAAAGTAATATCCACGAATGAAATTAGTATCCATAACAATTTATTTCAGTACAGTACTAAAAATAATAATAATAAACATGAATAAATCAATTTCCCTAATAATAATTAAACGTTTCAGTAATATTCAGGCTTTAATGCGATCCACTACGATCAGAGAAGCTTATTCTATTCTATGAATCAAACTTAAGTGAATACAGCGAACATGAATACAATATGCATGAATAAATTTTACATAAATACAACATAGATGAACCATGCATCGGTCACACATGCACAAACTTATTTGAATACAATTCTGATAAGTCGAATTTATTTGGATCATGCACACTGAATCAAGAATACTTCGTCAAAACGCAAATTCAATAAACAAAATTTCATTCAAACAGGATGAACCAAACTCTCATATGTCGAACAAAGTTGAATAAACATCGTGCATCAAACTCAAATGAATCAAGCGCGTACAAAACAAGCTTCAATGAACCAATCATAGATGAATCAAATTTATATGAATCAAACATATAGGTGCGTTTGTAGCATATGATAATCATTGATAAATCTATCATACTTAAATATAAGCTTGGGGCACTCATTTTATAACTTATATGAATCAAATATGTAACTAAAGTAATATATATGAATGAAACTAACATTCATTAAAAAAATTATATGAATCGAACATTGATGCGTTTGCAGCTTATGATAATCATTGGCAAATCTAGCATACTTAAATACAACTTTCGGGGCACTCATTTTATAACTTATATGAATCAAATATGTAACTAAAGTAATATATATGAATGAAACTAACATTCATTAAAATAATTTTGAACAAAATTTCGCCAATGAACAAGTTTGAATGCATGAAATAAGCCTAATCTTATTCACTGTAATTGTGCCCTGGGTAACTTCAACTCACTCCTTGCAAACGCGGCGTCCGCGCAGGCGATGATGTCCGTCGATGCGCCGCTGTCGTTCAGCTTTACCCAATCAACAGCAGTCGAATTCTTGGGGGCAAATCTGCGGTATTCTTTGCCGCCTCCGAGGTCAATGGAGAACAGTTCCCCTGTGACGGTGTTGGCGAGAGCGGAGCACGTCGCGAACAAGTAGCTCTCGACGCCACCAGCGAGCACATACTGTGCAGTAGGTTCAAGTTCAGGGATAGTAAACGAGTCATGATCAATCAGTAATCAGGGAAGAACAGAACAAAAAAGTTATAACTGTCTTCAAAAGCAGTGTAACAAGGTGATGGAGTCGTGCGCTTTCAAATCTAAAAAATTGAAACAATTCCAAATGTAGAACACTAGTGTGATTTAAAAATAACGAAACAGTTTTTTGGCCACAATACCAATTTAAATAATAGAAACACCATATACATTTGTGTGAAACGATATATCATGCAAATGATCACCATTTATGAACGTATGATGAGATACTCTGAATCGATGATGATTATCGCCATGGTTTAGGTTTTTTCGGAAAGTATTCATTTCCTGGCTAATTACACGGTTCCGTGCTCGTAGGTGTATAGTTCGTCGTGCCCTTGGGTAAAAAATAACTCAGGGCTCGGGGAAAAATACAACTCAGTACTGTAATGAAGTGTTGCTGCAAATTTCCCACTACTGTATGTCAGACTACGAAGGATAAGTAGGACCGACTCCGACGTGGGTGTTAAGTTGAGTATAGCCGTCAGATACTATGCCGACCCCGACTTGCGTCGTGGTTCCTCTCTTATAGGATTTTGACTCAGACGCCAGGGTGAGTTGCGTGCTATGGTGGTGAAATTTAGCTTGGAATACTTGATAGAATATCGTGATTTTTGTGTATATAACGACTTGTCATGCGTAGATATTTACTTTCTGTTTTCTGTTGTAGGATCGTGCGTTTTCTCAGATCTCAATGCTCCAGCTCTCTCCTCGCATTTTGCTCTCATCGCACTTTAACTTCCTCCGCATTTAATTTTGTTAGTTCGTTTAATTCGTATGCCGCATCTGTTTGATTTGTTTAGTTTCAATTTACCGTTTATCTTTAATAAATAAATTTAAGAAGGTTTGTTTGAGTAACTATCCGCTCCGTCCAAGCTCCTGCTGATAAAACCAATAAGGAAGTTGCATTTAATTTCCGGTCATTGGTGGACGTGACAATTAGACCATCCGAACTTTGAGGTAACGCGATTAATTAGCTATTATTCAAGATTAGTTCGTCACAAGTACTCACAGCAGTGAGTGACAGAGAGCGCATTTTCTTGTCGACGAAAACATGAAGTCACGGACAGGCGGACGGACGGACATAACGAGCACTATAGGGGGGCATTTTTCCCATAAATGAGAAAATGCGCTAAAAAGGAAACAGGTGGCACAGAGAAAGATGAAGGATAAACTGGTAATATAGTAGGAGACGAAGAAGGCGTATAATTAGGTTGGTTGTATGTGTGTGGGGTTGGCTTGGGGAAGCGAAGGGAGACGGGAGTCAGTCAGGAATTTTAGGGCTTGTGTGGATGACTGAAGTGTGGGAGACTGTTGATTTTATCTACAGTATTTACATATACTGATGCTATACTAACATGGTTTGAAGAAAAATATCCTAAATACTCTCGATACACTTGCGTTTCGCATCTTTTTAATATGATTATTTTCCTTAGTTTTCTTTGGTATTTTTCAGATTGACGAAATGATGGTGGGGGATATATGTGGTGATTATGATCATGGTGATTATGATGGTGAGTAAGACGGGAGAGATTCAGGAAGTAGAGCGGGCAGTCATCTTTTTGGTTAAAGCGTTTTGTTATTGAGGAGGAGGGTAACAGGAGGAGGCAGAGCGTTTCCAAAAAGATTAAGGAGAAATGGAAAAGACAGCAAGAGATGAAAAATACGCATTGCACATAACTTTGTTAATCGTAATTGTGTTAGGTTTGTGATTGGGGAGTTGAAAGGGAAGAACCCGTCAGTGCTGGGTATGGCACACACAGGGGGGAGCGATGGAGGAGTGGTTGTTCATTATTAACATTATTCACCATAAAGATGGAAGAATCGTATTAGTTGAGTCTTGTTTCTAAGATACGAAAGTGAAAAGGAGTTCTGAACAGAAACGAGATCAGAAGCGAGAAATCAAAGAAAGTTAAGGAAGGGAAGCAGCCGGTCTAGTCTCAGGGCAAGGAGCCTATTGTTTGTTTTATAGTGGAAAGCCCTGAGAACTGAAGCTTGTTGGAAGGCAAAAAGTTGACCCTCAATGAGAGGCATGTAAAAATTTAAGCAGGCATAAGGCATATTGTGCCTTAAGCCATAACATTATGCAGAGTCATGTCGCTAGTTCATCAACTGTCAAATCAGCAGCTAAAAAGTCAAGATAGTTATTTGCCACCAGCTGGCAAAAGGAGCGAGACCACTAGAAAGTACGATAGTAAGAACCGTCTGAAACGAAAGTTAACCAACAACCTTAACCCGAAGACGGCCGCCTATCAGTATAACACCCAGCGTAACAACGAATTTCACTGACGAATTTCGATGCTGGTAAGAAAGCGAAGCTCGGAATCCAGTCAACCCCAAACAGTGAGACTATTTTTTGATGAGTCAAGTCAAAGGAGTTCCATAACCTCATCCTTTGTGAATGAATTGAGGAGGCAACCCGTGGGAGAGAATATATCCAGAGACATGCTTCCGGATGACAGCGTTATTCCAGTTAGAAAAACCTTCCGTCATAATATAATTATCACGGGAATAGAGGAAAAGGGAAAGATGGAGATGATCCTATGGAGGAAAACTAATGTGGGAGGAGGCTTTAATCGCGTGCCGGCAGGCCTCTTGACGGAAAGGCTTGAGGAGCCCGAAATCCCCATATAGAATAGAAGTGTCTGCACTGAAGAAATGGCCCATGGCCAGTTGCCGATTCTTGTAGTTTTCGTGACTTGATTCCACAAGGGATCCAACCTTGCGAACCCAATCTTTCCATAAATGACGATTGATTAAAATAGCTGCTGGACTTTTCGCGAGGCCAGTAAGGTGCTAGGCATTTCGAAACTGATTTTATGTTCCTGCATAGCTTCGTCTAGTCTGTTCTTGAAGGCGTTCAGACTCGGAGCCTCAACGATGTTATGTGTTATCAGGGAGACTGTTCCACATTTCAGTGACTCGAAGCGAGAAGAAATGTTGTCGCATGGATATTTTACAACGCAGTTTTTTAGTTTTTATAGCCGATGACCTTGGTGTTGGTTCTTGTTTCAAATTCTAGTAATCCTTCTGGGACCTTGGATAAACCGTGGACATAATTGTATACCTCAATGAGGTCACCACGCAAACGTCGACAACAGAGGCTTGGAAGCTTCATAATCTTCAAGATTTCTTCATAAGGCTTGCCTTTTAATGCAGGAATTATCCTTGTTGCACTCTCGACTGATAACTCTCGATTTTTGTCCTCGTCTAGTTTTTTTCCTGTCTAGTAGGTTCGGACGCACAACAGCGACAAACAGTTACAACAGTTTCATCGCTTCAGCATCTATGTACAAGTGAGAGCGTCTGATCAGTCTGATCAGTTGGATTTTTTAACTTGAGCTTCAATATTCGTTGAACATTTCAACTCATTGTCGAGATTAACTCCAAAATATTTTTACATTGTCGACTTCGACATCATCATTCTGTCGTTGAAACCGTGTCTTCTCATACTGTAATATTGCTGTTCATTATTCTTGACAAGGTGGATTACTTTACATTTGTCAGCGTTAAAACGCAGCTGCCACTTATCAGCCCAGTCAAACAACCTGTCAAGATCACCTTTCAACTGTACTTTTTGCGACGTATTCTTCACTATATTACGAACTTTTGTGTCGTCCGCATACATCGAGCACACGCTGACACAGCTTCCGGTAGATCTTTCATAAACGCAACGAATAGAACAGGCCCGAGAACACTTCCATGTGGCACGCCGCTGCGCACTGAAGCCCAGTCTTAAACGGATCTATTAACACTGACACGTAGTCGTCTCCCTAATAGAAAATCGGTGATCCGTTTGAGTACATTACTCTCAATTCCCAAAGACTCATGCAACAGTCCTCATTTTACGCACTAGCCGCTCATGCGGGACACTGTCAAATACCTTGGCAAAATCGAGATACACTGCATCTTCTGGCTCCCTTTCGTCCAGCAGGCGGGTCCATTCATTCAGATTTCGGAGTAGACAAGAGGTTAGTGGTGCAGGATCTACTGGCAATAAAGGCATGTAGACAGTCTGATTTGAGATAATTAACAGTCAAATGGTCGATCATTCGATCCCTCACAACAAATTCCATTACCCTGCAAAATACAATAATCAAACTGACAGGCGATAGTTGCTCGGGCAGCTTTTGTCACCTTTTTTAAACAATTGTGTCACTTGAGCTTTTTTCCAGTCAGCCGGCAAGATCCTTTGGTTCAAAGTTTTTCGAAGAAATGACGTCAGAGGGACGGCTATGACAGTTGCTGACTTTTTGAGTAATCTGGGGTGGAAGCCGTCCAGTCCACATGACTTGTTTGGATTTAGAGCGATCAGCCACTCTAGAACCACTTCTTCCTGTATTTAAAAATTTGTTAATTTAGAGCCGACTGGGCGCTCCTCAATAGCTCGAATAAAGTCATAAGTGACTTGTCAACGAATTATGCAAAACGGAGTAAAATAGATGTTACAATTGGTTCAGATTATGAAGCTCTTAATTGTAAAAGAAGGGTGCACGCGTGGATCTAGGCAGTTGCCTTGCAGCTTGAGGAACACGATTTGGATGGACATTTAGCGGTATCGTCGGTGATTCCCAAGGTTATACCTCAATAGACGACATGTTTTGCGCCGGACAAGAATATTCGAAGCTTTGGAATTTGGAGTTGTTGGGCATCAAGGATCCCATTGGCAAGTTAAGTGAAAATGGGATAAAACGGAAGCAATCTCTTCCTTTTATGAGACCAGCCAAAGAAAATAAGAAGAGCGAAATGCAATCAACCTCACGTGCACGGCAAAACCAGTGGATTAAGCCAATAACTTTTTCATTCTAAGAAGTGTCTGGAGTCCGCGCAATTGAACCACGTCCCTGGTCAGAGGAACCCAGACAATCTTCTTTCACTATACTGTATAGTCCAGAAGAACTAGTGACATCAAACTGGTGGGAGGGCACAAC